ACTAGGTCGATGCATCCTCCCTATGCCAGTCCCCCCCTATCGTTGCCCGCCAATTCATCAGTCGACGTACAGACCGAATCAGAGTTTGCAACACGCATTCGCACGTGAGTGCCATATGGCAAGTCCCTGGCTATCGTCCCGAAGCTTGCGACCATGGAATTGACGAACCAGTGCAACCTCTCTATCAATGTAGCGACTTCATTGCGAAGATCAACACAGGTGGTTCTCTCGACCTTACGCAGTTCGAGGGCAGCGACGGAGTCTTCAAGTTGGTCGGTCTTTGGTCAGTTGCAACGGTGTCAGATTGGAACATTATTTTCGCTCGAGAGTGGGACGGCAGTCTTTGCCACGGGTGCGGGCTCAGCGCGCTTGCTAAATTTGGCTTGGGGGAGATACCAGCGGCGTACGATTTGAAGCCAGTTGTTCTTCGGATTCTCGAAGCTTACATGGGCACATATGCAGAGTTTCATGAAGATGCTCGTGGCCACAGGCCAATCAGATCATAGAGTTATTGCTTCACGCCGCAACAGTCGAGAACCGATGTGGCTGGTAGAAAGGATTCATCAGGCAATCTGCAACCGCGCGCCAAACTCACTGCTGGAGTTATATGGCTGGTTGCCACGGCAGTGGGGCCGGCATTACCCAACACCCAGCAGCTTGGAGGTGGTCCAGCAGATGGAGCCACTCCAACATGATTGGGCGGTTCAGTTGCCAGCTCTGGGCCGTTGACGGGTTCGGTTTCAAGCATGGGCGGCGAGTTCAGCAGCCGTGGCGGCGGGGCCACTGAGGGGTACCTGGCTGCGCACCTGCCCACCCGCCCGCCGCCCAGTTATCTCGACGTGTCAAGCCTGGACATCGTTCGTTGTTGTCAGTCAGTGGAGGATTCGTTTCAGCGTCCGAACGGGCTGACTTTTTCAGGGCACGTGGTTCTCACGCCATGTGAAGACGGCATCGCTACACCCAGTTGCAAGCCATTGTCTGTCGTTTGTGCTTGGCCTGGGCATCGGCCGTGGGAGTTGTAGTTTGGCCCAGCGAGCTGTTGCGGGGTTTTGGACGCTATGTGAGTCGTCTTGACTGGCTGCTCTTTTGCACGGCTGCATGGCTTCCCTGGCTTTGCAATCGTGCATGTCCGTCTGGATGATGCAGTTGTCGGCCGTTTTGTTGAAAGTTGCAGGGGGGTCCTCACACGTGGATCCGTTGTCCCTTTCAGGATCAGACAGAAGGGCCAGTCAATGCACGTCATATTTTCCTTATCTTGCCCGTGCCCCGCTTTGGCGAAGCAAATGCACGGTGAGTTTTCTCGCTACTGGAGTTGCCTGCTCGTGGCCCAGGGGAATCGATTTCCCGAGCCAGCTCGCGCGGCGCACCCATGGTTGATCGCTGCTCGATTTCCAGAATAGGTTTCATGATAAACACACTCAAGGAGTTGACAGCAACGGCAGAAGCGGCGGTAACGTCGCGGCGCAAGCAAGGTGCAGGGTCGCCGTCATGTGTCTATTCGTTTTCGTGGACATCCTAGTGGTCGTTGCAGTTGTAGTCAACTTCTTCATCGCCTACCCCTGCTGTTGCCCACGATCCTTCTAGTGGTGCCCTTGCCCATCGCGCCCATCTCTTTCCCTTCTTCGCAGCCGTCCTCGCGCGGTTTGCGGCAGAGCCGCTTTCTTCTGAGCGCGCCGACAGGCCTGGCCCCCGCGGCGCCCAGTCGTTGCGTTGATCACGCTTGCCCCGAACCTGTTCAGAGACGCGCTTCGACCCTCGACCCAGGTTCGAACCGCGCTGAGCGGATGCCACTCGCTCGCTCTCCACCTCGCCCCGCGCTCCGGGCGCTGGGCGCGCGGGCGTGCGGGCGTGCTCGTCGGCCGCGTGCCGCTCCCCGCGTGCAGTCTGTGGCGTCGCTGGGCGATGCTGCCGCTGCCCTTGACGCCGGCTGCGCTCTCCGCCTCGGGTTCGCTGCGGGGGATGGGGGGTGTTGTCGCGCACTCTGCCTCCCACTCGTAGTCTGATGTGGCGTCGGCGCGGGGGGGGGGGGCGGCCTTCGCCGTCGATCCCGCGTCGATCCCGCAAGGCCGAGAGAGCGGGGAGCTTGGAAGGCGGATTCGCCCTCCGCGGTTGCTGTTTGCAGTGGCGCGGGAGGGCAGTTTTGTCATGCGCGTTCGGCCGCCCTCGCCGAGCTCGCAGCGCCGCGTGTGGGGCTTGGTCGAGACCTTAAGTTCGTTGTCGGCAGCCTTTGGCTTCACCGCTTCTGGTACTCTTGGATGTGTTCTTGTCCGTCTCCGGCTTCGCCTTCCAACCACCATCCCTCTCTGCCTCCGCCGCCTCGTTGTCCTCGCTCCAGCTCCATTCGTCTTCTTCGTGTTTGTCGTCGTCGTCGCCGTCCTGCTCTCCCCGCTCTGCCCTCTCCCCAACCGTGGCTCTCCCATGCCGCCCCCCCTGTCACTTGCCAGGCCCAGTCGCGCCTCGTCCGCCACGCCGCCAGATGGCTTCTCTCATTCGGTCCGCTTTTCATGGATGCCCTTTCTTCCCAGCCCCACCCACCCCCCTCCGCGCTTATCGCGCCGTTCCTTCTTATTGCGCCCGGTTGCCCTTCCGCGCCTATGACCTGCATAATTTCGTCTCGCCCCTCGCGGTTTCGCCGCATTTGTTCTTCTTGCACTTGAGTAGGGAGCTCGCGCGCCAGACGCCCGTCTCAGCACGGGTGGGGCACACAGTCGCGGCGCTTCGACGCAGCAATGACCGCGGCCTGGCTCGACGCGGTGATGGTTGCGGCGCGGTATTCTTGGAAGCCGAGCGGCCAAGCCGTCCACCGGAGCATGGCATGTTTAATAATGAACCAGATTTCCTTCCGTCGGAGCTGCAGGATAACTCACCGCGACAAGACATCGCAACAGTGTCAGGCCGAAGGGCCGATCAAGGACGTAGGGGCGCAGCAGCGAAAAGAGAGCAAGAGCAGGGTGGATGGGGCACCAACGGGGCGGTGATGAGGGACGGCAGGCAGGACCAGACGCAGGGGCAGGAGGAACGCAAAAGTGTCCACGAATACATGTCCCAACCATCTTGTGGTTTGAGTTCCTCGTTTTGAAGAGACAGTGCCTATCGTTCCTCTCGGCGTCTCCTCCTCTTCCTCCGCCTCCTCCCTTCACCAAAATCATCAGCATCAGCAGCAGCATCCTCATCATCATCACCATCATCATCCTCATCATCATCAGCAGCATCAGCATAATCACCATCAGCATCATCATAATCACCGCCATAATCACCATCATTATCACCATTATCCTCATCGTCGTCATATTCGTCATCATTGCCACCACCACCATCATGGACATCATCATCGTCACCATCAGCATCAGCATCATCAGCATCGGAAGTGGTGTTGGGCTCCTTCTCCTCTTCCGTGTTTCATCATCATCACCACCATCACCACCATCACCATCATGATTATGATCATCATCATCGCCGTCATCACCATCATTGCCAGCATCATCATCATGATCATTATGATCGTCATCGCCGCCTTCATCGCCATCATCACCATCATCGTCATCATAATCATCGCCATCGTCATCATCATCATCATCACCCCATTATCATCATCATCATCAACATCATCAACGTTATAACCGCCACCCTCATCACTATCGCCATCATCATCATACTCACCACCGTCATCGTTATTCTCATCATCAATATCAACATTATCAGCAGCGGTATTATAACTATCAGCATTATTATCATCACCACCACTATCACCATCACCACCATCACCATCACCATCACCATCACCATCACCATCACCATCACCATCACCATCACCATCACCATCACACCGCCATTCGCTTCGGCACACCCTTCACGCGGTTCGTGGCCCCACGGGGAGCTCCGCGAAGGCCCAAGTGGAACGGTTCGCATGGCGGCCCCGCCCGATTTCGGCACACCCCTCACACGTTTCGTGGCCCCGTAGGGAGCTCCTCAAAAGGCCCCAGTGGCAGGGTTCGCATGGCGGCTCCGCCCCATTTCGGCACAACCCTCACAGGCTTCGTGGCCCCATAGGGAACTCCACCGGAGGCGCAGTGGCAGGGGTCGCAGGGCGCTCCCGCCCAGTTTCGGCACACCTCTCACACGTTTCGTGGCCTCATAGGGGGTTCCACCGAAAGCTGTATCAATAATGCGGCATCGGCAATTGCATATAGTTGGGCCCTTTGCCATGACAACTTGTCTGCCAGCGGCCCGAGTGACGCTCGAGCATGTCACATTCCACCAGACATTGCAGGTGGTGGAGCGCGCTGGGCCAGTCGACGTGAGAGAGAGAAGGAGAAAACTGGCCCATTCAGGACGTGCAGGAGAGCTCGGAGTGCTCATGCGTTCCGCCCGTCGCGTCGGGGCCAGCGGCATTCTCCGAGCGCCAGCGGCACGAGAGCAAACGGCAACATCGCCAAAATCGAAATGCGGAGCAAGAGGGGCGCCCACAAACACACACACACACAACGCATCTTTGGAGACGCAAGCTGGGAGGCAGGGGCGAGCCTGGTTTGTGCCGGCGATCGTAGTCGTAGCTTTTGTAGGAGTTGAGTCAGTGTTCGTTCCAGTATGCGTATCACGAGTGGTATTTGGAAGATTCGTACTGCAAGCGGTGAATTTGCAGTCGCAGGCTCGGTTCGAGTGGGAGTGGCGGTATAGCCGTTTCAGTAGTTGTAGTACTGTTGTTGGTGGCGTATGCCACGAGTAGACCAGTGCTTGAGCAAAACACGTTGAAAGCAGCAACAGACTCGATATTGTAGCTGGGCGTGAAGGTCACATACGCATGCAGTATACGACGTGCTTTGAAGTTCTGCCCTTCGCGCCTTGGAATTGCGTAAATGCCGTACCTGGGCCACTGGAGGGTCTCCGTAGCATTTGGCCTCGTATTTTGCGTGGGCAGAGACAGAGGTGCAGGGCACCGGCTGTCCATCCCCCCGGGCCTCCTCAAGTGCGGCCCCGGCCCGCCCTCCCCGCTTCCTGAGGACAACAAGAAGACCGCGGAGGTGGAGTTTTTTGAGGTGCGTAATTCGCAAAGTTCCGCCGAGGACCACATCCGCGCGGGCGGGCAGATGGACCCTCAGAAGAGAGGGACGGAGGGGCCGTGGGAGGGGAGCGTGGAGGGGACGGGGGAGGAGGGAGCCCCCCCCAAGGATCGCCAGTAAGTACCCCGTTCTTGGGAACGGCCCCTCCTTCCAGTTTGTTTCTGCGCCCCCCCCTCGCCCCCCTTCCTCCTCCTCATCCTCCACCTCCGCACCCCTCCCCCCCCACAAACACACGTGTACCTCCATCTGCACCCCCATTGCTGCATCCACCTCGGCTCTTTTTGTGCACATTCTTCCGCACCCTACACCTCCACATCATGTAAAATATATCATCGTCCTATCCCGCCGCCACTTTTGGCTGCATGCCCACACCTCCACATCCACACATTCCTGCTCCACGGTCTCCTTGCTACTGTGACCGACTCACCTCTCCCAACACCCTCCTTCACCGTCTTCCTCTCCACGCTAATCGCCCCCCCCCTCCGCAGCACGCATCCTCTGTGACTCCTCGGTTTCGACAGCAAGGCATCGCTCGTGTAGGCTTGTGTCGGGAGGACCGAGCACGCGTGGACCAGGCGGGCAGCTGACGCTCATGCGCGTCTCAGCGGGCACCATCATGCAAGCCTAGGATAAAGACAATCGCTCCAGGGCGGCCCCGAACGCCCCGAGAGCGTTCCAGAGCGATCTGAAATGGCCGCGGCGCCCGATACACCCTTCTAGCCCACCAGCTCTAAGCGATCCCTGGTGTCTCTACATCCGCATGCTTGTTTCATCCTGTTGTCACCTCGCAACATTGTTCTCGCCGAAGGCCAGTTTGTGTTAGCCAGCGTGGACCCCACACAGCGATGCATTGCAAAGCATGCGGTGCAATCTAGGCGGTGCAATCAATGTGGTGCAATCGAGGTGATACAATCCATGTGGCGCAATGCAAAACAATGCAACGCAGCGCCATACAAATCAATGCAGACCAGTACACATCAAAGCACTGCAAAGCCATGCAGAGCCATACGAAACAAGGCAACTCAATGCAAAGGAATATAATTCATGCAATGAGGTGCAGCGCAAAACGCATCAATGCAAAGCCATGTAATCCAATGTCTGTGCAGCCATGTACCGATGCAAGCAAGGCAATGCAAATCAATGCCAAGCAATGCATACCAATGAAAAGCTATGCAGACCAATGCAAAGCAATGCAAAGCAATGCGCAGCAACATGATGCTATGCGCAGCAATGCAAAGCAATGTAAAGCTTGAGATGCGAACGGGGGGGGTGCACCAGCGGGGGGGCGACGGGGCGGCGGCGACGGATGGGAACTTGGCCGCTGGGCCCGTAAACGAGCTTTTCACTTGAAAACATAGTGCGGCGGAGTGCGGGAAAGGGGCTGTCGTGGCCGCGCATCGGCCCAGTCCTTGGAAGGGAAGTGTGGAGCCGTAAATGCAAACGCTGCTCGGGAACGCTCCCCCACAAACAAAAACATGTTGGCACGTTTATGCAAGCCCGCTCAAACACCCTAAACTCGTTGGTTCCAGAGCCAACATCGCGTTCGGAGGGAGGGCGGGGGGGGGGGGGGCGAATCATCTGTTCTCGTGTGTTGCTCCCTTGTTTCCCACACCTGAGGAGCAGGCGGAGAAGAAGGAGGGGGTGGAGGGTTCAACTCAAGGCCACTCCGTGCCTCCTTCCAGGGCGCAGGCTTTTCATCCTGCGCCGTTTTCTGACGGCCCCCGGGGCCCAGCGAAGCCCCCAGAGGCCGAAAATTGCCAACAACTTCCCGTCTTGATTCCTCCACGACGCGAGGATGTCTGTCTGACTTTCAGCCCATTGCCCGGCCCTCCTGCGACCGATCGGGACGATCCGGGCGCCCCAGGATCGCTCTCGACGAGGCGCAGCTGCTGGAAGGCATCCCGAGGCGAGAAGTCCATCAAGCACCGATGGAAACGTTCGAACCCCTCCGAGAACCTTCCGTCGTCCGCCGGCGGACGTGAGGTGAGGACGTGGGGAAGGCCTCGACGCGAGGGGGTCCTGGGGAGGCAGATCGAGGAGGGCCGGGAAGCGCCACCCTCCCCCCCCCGGCCGGGGCCGGTGGTGAGAGGACGGCACAGTGAGACTTTCCAGGCGGAGCCCGCCCCGCGCACCCTCCGTCCGACCACTGCCGCGGGTGAGCATCCCCACCCCAGAGTAGTGAGAGGGGGGGAGAAAGGGGGGCACGAGGAGGGAGGAGGAGGAGGTGGAGGTGGAGGGGTGGGTGCGTGGGGAGAGGAGGAGGTGGAGGAGGAGGAGGAGAAGGAGGAGGAGGGATGAGGGCAGGGGGATGAAGAGGGGGGGAGGAGCGGGATGAAGAGGGGGGAAGAGGCTCTTCGGAGATCTTCGGAGGTGCCCGCAATCTTCGGAAGGAGGTGGTGGACGATGTCGACGGCGGCTCGTGGAGGAGAGGGAGAAGGAGAAGGAGGAGGAGGAGGAGGAGAAGAAGGAGGAGGAGCATGAGGAGGAAGAAGAGCAGGAGGAGGAGGAGGAGGAGGAGGAGGGGCTGGCAGTTGAGGCGATCATCCTCGCGTCGCATGCCAGCCCCTCGTGCTCCTCCTTGTGGGTCGTCGTCTCCGTCGTCGACGTCGTCGTCGTCATCCTCATCATTGCCCTGCTTCTCCTCCCCATCGTCCTCCTCTTTCTCTCATACTTGCCTTCCGTACTACTCTGCATTTCCACTGCATCAACCGCAGACCTAAGCATCCTCCCTCATCCCTTGATCCCCTTCCCTCCCCCATCCCTCAGCCCTTTTCTCCTCATGCTTCCCTGCCTTTTCCTCCCTCTCCTTCTTTTCCTTTTCACTCTTCCTCCGCCATCTCCGAAGTCGACGACGACGACGACGATGATGACGCAGTCCACGACGGCGGCCACGACGATGCCGACGGCGACGACGACGACGACGACGGTGGCGCTGGAGGATGGAGGAGGGTGGGGCGCGGGGGGTGGGGCGCCGCGCGACAGCACAGTCCAGACCATAGCCCCACAGGAAGTGACCACTGCCTCCAACCGAGGTGCTGCTGCGGGTTTGCCCCGGCGCAAGCACCCAGATCCAGGCGATGCAAAAAAGTGAATAGCGACGGCTGATTTGTCTACGTTTTCGGCCGTTGGATGTCGCTTTCTGGCCCCAGAGGACCGTCGAAAAGCGGCTCATGATGAAAACCCGGCCCACGGGGCATGGGTTGAGATCCACGGACCCGACGTCACGGAACACAAGCTGCGCGTTCCAGAGGGGGCTCCGCCTTCGGCTCACCCCGCCTCTGGCAGAGGCCAGCGACAACAGCTGGTGGAATCAGAACGGCGGCGGGTCCGCCGGCGGATGCTTGCGACGGAGCGGCGCCCATCGGGTGCCGCCGTGGGGTGGCCCACCCGCGCCGCACGACCGAGCGTTTTCGGTGAATGTTCGGCGCGGGGGCCCTTACCGCACCGCAGGAGCATCAAGCGAGGGCTCGGGATGGAAAACCAGCCGTGGGGAAGTGTCGAGACGTCCAGGTGACCATCGGCATCACCCGTGCATGCTTGTACCATGTGTGAGTCAGCCCCCGAAGGGCGACGCGCGCGTTCAGACATCTTATACTAGTAGCATTGCTCTTCGGCGGGCGTTTTCTGGCCATGCCGCCTGGATAACGAGAAGCCATCGGATATTTGTGCTCTATGTGTGGTTCGAACGTGCACCTCCAAGGGGGGTGCATAGTACGAGCACCTTCCTCTGCATCCCATGTCCACGTTGCGAACAAAAACGCGACGTCGGGGGTCGGGAAGGTGGCCCCAGCTTGTCCAGGAAGGCCGAGATGGTCGTGCTTTTCTACCGTGGCTCCCCAGAGGTCCAGACTTTGGACCTCTTCCTCGGAACCAGCTTTTCACTGCGAGTTGATTTTGGACGGCCTCTGGGCCCAGTGAGGGCCCGCGGAGGCCGAGAATGGCTGAAAACCTCCCGTCGCGTTTCCTCGCGATGCGAGGATCCCGTCGATGCCGAGGTGGCCGCAGGAGGTCCAAAATACAGCGGCGCCCGCGGCAGACCTTCACGTGGTGCGCCCTCCGAGAGGGCCTCGCCATCGGGGGAGGAGGAGGTGGAGGAGGAGGAGGAGGAGGAGGGCGAGGAGGAGGAGGAGGAGGAGGAGGGGGGGAGGGGGAGGAGGAGGAGGAGGAGGGAGGAGGAGGAGGAGGAGGAGGAGGAGGAGGAGGAGGAGGAGGAGGAGGAGGAGGAGGAGGAGGAGGAGGAGGGACCCTGACCCCCTCGAGTCGCGAAAGAGAAGCCGCGACGAAAGGTTTTGGGCGGCCGTCATGCTCCGGGGGCCCCTTGCCAGGCCCCGAGCCCATCCGAAAGGACAGGACGAAAGGCCTCTGAGGAGCCACGCTGCAAACAGCAACTCGACGTCGGATGCCTGGGTGCTCTCGAAGCCGCGCGCCCCCTGGGTGCCCAGGAGACCTTTGGCCTCCGGAAGCCCCGGCCGGTTATTTGGAAGGCGGTCGGTTGCCGGGGCACCTGTCGCCCTCGCCAGGGAGGCAAGGCCGAGCAGGGAGGAGGGGGAGTGCACGCCTAATGAGAACTTGGCCTGTCAACGTCTGTCCCTCGAAGAAGAAGAAGAAAGCAAAAACACATAAGCATAAACTTTCTGCGCTCCGCGCGGATTTCTTGGATCCGTGCCCGGCCCCCCCGGCGGCGCCTCCGGCGCCGCCCCTGGCGCGCTCCGCCCGCCAGGGGGGGGAGTCCAGCGCGGATCCAAGAAATCCGCGCGGAGCGCCAAACGTTTATGTTCATGATGTGTTTCAAGGGGGATGAGGAGCCAGAGAAGGCGGAGGAGGAGCTGAGCGAGGAGAGCATGTAGAGAGGGCGGAGGAGGAGGAGGCGGAGGAGGAGGCGGAGGAGGAGCAGAAAGAGGAGGAGGAGGAGGATAGGGGCCTTGCCACTCCCAATAGGACGAGCCTATCCCACTAGGATGGGGGACCTTGGTCGCGCGTGAGCTTGGCGACCTCCCCCCCCTTCCTCCTGCATCCCGCTTCCCTGCTAAGTAACTCCTCCCAGTCGCATCCTGAGAGGTGGGGGTGAGGCGGGCCAGGCGCTTCGACTGAGACTTCTTCACCGTTTATGATCCTTTAACTGGGACTCTCTAACAGTTTCACGGATGGGAGGGTTGGCCGTTTCGAAATATTGTTCTCGCCTCAGCGCCGCGCGCATGCGCCCTAGAAGTTGGCGAGGGCTTCGCGGATGGAGGCCGGCCGCTTTCAACATGTGTTTCTCGCACTGGTGCCGCGCACGTTCGTCTGAAGAGCTTGCAACAGTTTCAAGGGTTTCCATGGCTGACGATCCAGAAGTGGTGTGGGATTGTCTGGACATAACAGTCACGTTGATTCGCGGAGTTGAAGTCCCAGGAATGGTGTTCTGGCACGGTTCAGGATCGTCAGGGCGCAACAGTGACGTTGATTTGCAGCGTTGAAGTGTTCGGATATGTAACAATTCAGAGGGGTACCCCAGCAGGTATTCCCAGGGCCAGGCTGAGGACAGAGAATGAGTTCTTGCATCGTCGCCATATTTTGGCTCAAGAAATATATCCCCCTCCCATCCATCACCAGAGTTTGGGGGAGGAGGATTGCTTTGCATGGTAGCGCGGAGCATGTTCTGATCCACGGCATTTTGCTGAGTGACTCCAGGGAGTCACGGGTCAGCTTCCGCCATGGAGCAACAGGTGCAGCTGCAAGCACAGCAGATTGCCGAGCTGAGAGACTTGCTGCAGCGACAATCGGCGGAGCTCCAGAGGATGGCCGCCGCACAACCAGCAGCACCAGCGCAAGCAGCAGCACCAGTGCCCCCAGCAGTGCCACGACGCATGGAAGGTATCTTGGACGGCAAGATAGTTGGGAAGGTCAAGCAGTTCGATGGCCAACGTTCGTCATGGAAGACCTTTGAGTTTCACTGGAAGGCCTACTTAGTGGCCAATGATTTTCGGTTTAGAAGGATGTTTCAGGCCATCGAGGACGAACCTGACGTGGCAATGCTGGTGAATGATGTGGGCAGTGTGAATAATCCAGATTTCGAGCCTCTCTCCAGCCAGCTGTACTTTATGTTGGTGCTGGCAATGCCAGAAGACAGCACGGGCGAGAGCATCCTCTCCAACACACCTGAGGGAGAGGGCGCCCTGGCATGGAAGAAGCTGTTGAATGAGTACTCTCCCAATGAGCCAGGGAACATAGTCGGACAGTTCAGGAAGATTCTAGGTACGGTGTTCCCCAAAGATGCGGACATCGTCACGGAGATTATGAAGTTGGACAAGGAGATCGCCCGCTACGAGAAAGCTAGTGGCGAGACGGTCTCAGCGAACGTATCTCGAGGCATACTCCTGGGGGCTCTCTCAGAGGAACCCGATCTCCAGAAGCACTTGTTCCGCAACCTTCGGAGTTTGCCAACCTACGCCGACATGAGAGCTGAGGTGGTGAACGCCCTTGCAGCCCAGAGGAGCGTGAACGACGACGCCATGGACATTGGAGCGCTCAAGGGCGGCAAGTCCAAGGGCGGCAAGGCGAAGGGCGGCAAGGACGGCAAGAGCAAGAAAGGCAAGGGCTACGACTCCCAGAACGCCGAGAAGTGGTGCAGCTACTGTGAGAAGCCGAACCACGTACGCTCGGAGTGCCGCAAGAAGGCTGCTGATGATCGGAGACGGGATGCAGAGGAGGCCGCGACGAAAGCCAAGCATGACAAGAAGGATCGGCAGAAGCAGCGGAGAGCTCAAGCTAAGGCTGGAGCCTTGTCTGCTGGCACAGCACCGTCACTACCGACTACAGGGACTCTGCCGACGGCGCCGCCGACGAACCCAGGTGCGACAGGTGCAGGGCCGTCGTGTGCCGCGAGCAGCGCGAGCACGATCCCAGTCGGGCTGCGAGCTTTGACTTCGAGCTCGGAGGCCACCTCCAGCACCCTCAACCCCAAGTTTGTGTTCGGGTTAGAGGCGATCGAGGCCGAGGAGAGGCATGCGAGCATCGCAGCGGTCAGCCACAAGCCGAAGGATGCGATCATGATCGACAGCGGTGCGCAGATCTCGGCAATGCCCAGCCAGATGGTGTGCGATGCAGGCTACACGATCCAGAGATCAAAGATT